GGGAGGCAAGAATATCTGCAATCAATCTGGCACGCCTGCTTGGCCGCAGTATTTCTCTTTGGCTTCTTTTGCATATTATCTCAACTGCCGAGCGCATCGTCCCTTTGAAGTCCCGACGAGGTTTGATAGTTGGAGGCACAAGGTTTTTCACTTACACCATTCTTACCTCAGCTTCAGCTTTTTCTTCAAACCATCCTTATTGATACCCCTCTCATAGAAAGGTCTATCAAGCTCGGCAATTATTTTCGACTCTCATCTCTGAAATGAGACCACAGAGATAAAAGACCGTCTGGGGATACGAGAGAGCGAGAGAGCGCGCAAACGGGGAGAAAGGTGGCTGTCTGTCCATGGGCAGATCATGCAGTTGACCCCGATCAAAGTCCGAGGCAAGCGTGGCAAAACCGCTTCCTCCAAACCACAGACCAAGGAATCATCATCATCACTGGCGGAGAAGCGGGTGTCACGCCTTGCAAGTCGTCCAGTCGCCAAACGCTTCTCGCTCTTTGAGCAGAACTTTCCCCTTGAGATCGCCGAGCATATATTCATCCTCAGTGAGAATCTCAATCTCCCCCGTTGCAGCCCGCGCATCGGCGCTCTGCTGTCTGGGCGATCTACTCTTGTCAACATCATCATCGCCGCCTTCCATCCGACCTGGGACTGCTGGTTTGGTGTCGATAAGCGAGTGATTAAGACGGCTTTGAAACAAGGCGCCGCAGACGACGCGCGAGGACTATGGCGATATGAGAGCTTCCCTGAGTTATTCCCAGGTGATTCTGAATTTCAGGTATGACTCAATTCCACCGCAGGAAAACTTTCCATCTTACTGACTTTTATGACCAGTCTTCGCTACTGAGCAGTCCATGGATCAACGTAGACATCATCTTTGAGGCCCGACAGGTCTGGGCTTGGCGCTTCGCTCGCAACAGGTGGTACTCGCACTCCCACGTGGGCCTGAAAGACGAAGAAGATACAGAGCAGGATAACCCTCTCGAATCACCACATGATCGATTAGGCGGCTTCGGTCACTTTGACTCCCGCGGCTGTTTCGAATACGACTGGCTCTCCTACGGCCTCAACGGCTCCAAACCGGCACTCGACTTTTACGTCGATGTACACCCAAAGACGACGATCCCAGACGATATTCTCACCGGCCCGTGGACGCTCGAGCAGCAGAGGCTTCTTTTCTGGCTCCGGAGAGGCGGCGCCAAGATTCAGCCAGAGACTCAGACTTGGGAAGTAAGTTGGCATCTAGCCAAAAAGCATTGTACTTGCAGCAAGTGTAAAGGGGACTTTACTAACACGCACACAGACTCTTCGCGTCGGCCTCCAAAATGCCGTCACGCATCGCAGTCCTGGCAACCTAGACGGCCGCTTGATCGAGATGCTCCTCCTGGTGGAAGACTACTTCCCCTCGCACGCACTGGAAGACAACGCGTCGCTGTGGCCGCTCGAGATTCTCGAGGAGGAGCACGAAAAAGTTGGTCGGCTGCTAGCTGCGAGGGCCCGCAGCACCGCGGGGCCTCTGTTTGAGCTCGTTGAACTTGAGAAACGGATGATTGAGTACCATCGCCGCGTGGTCGATCTGCTTACATCAAGACTTAGCCGCCACGATCGATTGGCGCCGTCTTCGATCATGGCTGCTGGTCTTCTACCTCAGCCGCGGAATCGTTGAAAAGTACAGACGGAAGGGAACAGCCTATGTGGATTGAAAAGCATGCATTGGTGTTGCATATGACTTATGAGCTTACGGGACTTACATGCCTATTGTAATGTAATTGTGGGTGTATGGGCGACGAGTGAGACAAGATGAGCATTGGCAATCCGGGCCAAGTGGGATCTTGAGTTTGAGATATCAAAATACAAAAAAGAATCAGCTTTTTCATATGCCTGCTTCAAAACTGTCATAGTGAGCGGCATGGACATCCGCTGACTTCACGTCCCTACATCCTATTGTCATTGCCATCATTGTCACTGGTGCTATCCTTACTTAGCCAATTCTCTCGAAAACAAAAAAAGTAATTGGATTAAATGCACCCCGAAAAGTCTAGGAAGGTAGCAGTAAGGTTAGCATCGTTGAGGAACTGCTTAATTATGCATCACGACTACATCGAATGTGTGGTACCAAGAAACCGCTTGCTGGTGACAGCACGGGCAGAGGGGTACAGACAATCACTTCGTTTACTTGGATGCAAAATGAGACGGGCAGGATATTGTAGACCAAGATTTTCCTATCTTGCGTTAAATGATGTCTGTGGACCTCCTCTAGGAATTTGTCGCAAAGATTTGGCGGTGTGGGGCGAAGAGGTACTTAGGATTGCTATCATCCGACAGACTCCAACACCGAGCGGAGCAATAGCTCCGATCCTCCCCTTGGTGTAGTTGGTTCATCACGTTCGACTGTAATGGTTACATTGTCATCGAAAGGTCTCTAGTTCGATTCTGGAAGGGGAGAACTGCTTAATCTTTTGCATTTTTTGGATATGTTTCCTTTTTGGAATTGGGCCGCAAGTTTTTTTTGGCGCAGTCGATTTTGTCGTTTGTCTGTTGGGAGTCAAAGGAGGCGAGGGAACCACAATGTTGCGGAGCTCTCTCCCGGTTGTGGAAGCTGGGCGTTTGCTTTTTGCAGTCCTAAGGGTTTTTGATAGTAAACTGGTCGGTTGATGTTTACCAAAACGGATACCTAGAGGAAGAAGAGTCTTTCTATTGCCCTACTTTCTTTCCTCGTTGGATGAGATGATTTTGTTGGATAGAAGGTATGTGAGTTCCTGTTCCTCACTCCACATGTGTTTGCACTAGATTTATTTCGTTCAAGAGACACATTTTAGTGAGGCAACAATATCTAGTGCGTTTCTTCTGTCGGATTGAATGGAGGCATGAGAAACAAGTCGAGCAAACACCTCACGAAGATCGAAGTACATATAACCTTCCCCAATAGTTGAAGCAATGGTTAGGAGAAACACTTTCGAAAAGGTCCAAGAAGCTAACGCCGTTATTCTCTTGAGTGCTACATTCTGATTCTCAAGCACAAGGTTTCAGGGCCGCCTAGCTGAGAACCACCGACCCCGAGGAAAACTGCCCACTTGAGGAGAAGCGAGTAAGCCAAATGAGAGGTACCCTGGAATTGAAATGGTCCTTTAAAGACTCCTCGCATCAAGAAGACGCAAGATAGACTCACACCTGCCTTGCGAAGCTCGCTCCTTTACTGCATACTAAAACATACCATCGTCACCTTCTAGGTTTGATATTGACCAAGAGTATAAGCATCAGCAGCAAGGAAACTCGAGCTCGAACATCACCCCTCCTGCTGCTGGTATCAAGCATCCAAGCCCATCTACTTCCATGCCCCAAAGCGTGCGCGCAAACGACATGACATAAACAATCCATCAGAAGATCCCCGTTCCCCCCTCGAGCAACTCAGTCAAACACCTCCGTAATCCCCAAGATTCTGGAATACCCATTCACTTCCCAACCGCCGGATCTCTCGGTGCCTCCCCCGCCCTACTCCGCCCGGCCTGCGGGGCAGGAACACATCTGCAAACACATACGGATACATTGCATAAGGTAGGTAGGCTCCTCCGGTATCCGCGCCGCACGCATTAGCAGCTCTCTTCCCGTACCAACTTGATTGACCCCAAAATCATCTCACCGAAGGGTAAGATGTTGGAAAACCCCTCTCCACTCGGCGAGCTGAATCGGGCAGGCCGGCCGTCATGTCTTCCCCCTTCCCCTCTCCTTATTTCGATACTTCCGTCACAGAAACAGAGACGTAGAAAGTAGGAAAACATTTCTATGGGCGCTGACTGAGTGAGCAAGGCGGCCAGAACGGGAAGACCTACCGCACCGGGATATCCGGATCAGAAAACCCCAAAAAAAGTCGCCGACTGCAAAGGCATCACTTACACCGATGACTGGTTTCCACTAGGAAACAGATCATGGAGCTCCCCCGGCCCCTCGTCTCGGCGTCCCTGATCGAGTGTAGTTGACATCTGACGCCCTTTCGCATCCGAAAAGAGTCATCCAACAAACCTTCGAAAACTCTTCAGAAGATCAGCACGGCCTGTATCCTCGCCGTCTTTGAGAGCGATGCGGGTAGAACGGGCCTACGGGTCCAAGCAGTCGAGCAAAACGTGACGAAACAGCCCTCTCCCGGCCCCCCATCATCGCCATCCACGACACGACTGGCTGCCTGCCTGTCTGCCTACGAAGACGAACCCAAACGAGCCATTCATCGTGAAGAAAACCTCAGAATTCAGGCTCTCCAAGCTCTCGAGCTCCATCGTAAGTCCGTGACACCAAGAACCACGCCCCCCTCGCCATCCAAAACGAGAAAGACACTCGTCATTCTGATCCAAGGAAACCAAAGGCCCTCAAGAACCCTCGTGTAAGGCCTTCTCATCGGGCACGTAAACCCGCCGCCCAAATCGTGAAATCCATAAGCGCCTCCCAGAATATGCGTTCCACCACTCGGTGACATACCTCGTCCCCTTGCTCCATGAATCCATCCCCCTCTTACGCGGATAACACTAGTCACCAGCATTCCCTCACGCCGGAGCCCAAAGTGTGAAAGGTAAAACGGTGAGTGACTCTCACTATTCATCCATCTTTGTAAGCAGCCGTGACATAACAAAATTCAACATCATGCTGAATCATCCCTCCATCACCTTCCCGAAACCTCCGAAACGGGCTCCTGGGACCGTTTCACGCATGGCCTCTCCCAGACTAGAGACTGGCTAGTCCTCATAGAAGAATGAAGAAGCACCGATATGCGGGTGTCAGCCACTCATTAGCGTCTTGTTACAAGAAAAAAAGAACAAAAACCAGACTTCACATGACAAACCTGTATCGGAAGACCTACCTTGCCCGGCGGCCCCCTGCCTGATGCGTGACCAGGGTAGTGCAAAAGAAAAAAAATCTATTGCTCAAAAGTCCATACTGGACTTTCCTCAACCGGCAAGCGGGAAACCCACCACCGAACATCGGTTGGACGGCGGTCACCGCCAATGGTGGTGACGCTGGTGAGGTGGTGGTGTCGTTGGAGGCCGGGACCACGGGCGGCGGCGGTGCGGTATGACTCACACTCTCTCACGCTCGCTCACTTTCGACAACCCCCCCCCCCCCCAAGCCGGCCGCGCGCCGCGTTATCGCCGACGAACCATCGGGCGTTAAGGTATTCGTAGTGGTAGCAGCAGCAGCAGCAGCAGCAACCGCCGCGCTGCCACCAAATGACATCTCGTCATTTTTTCATGGGTCAAAACGCTTGTCAAAGAAAAATCAACCGGTTTTTTGTAGTCTGTTGCATCAAGCTTCCCCGTCTCGGGCTCCGTCTCGGACGGTTGATTGAGGTCAGACTGAGGTCCGCAGCTTGGTCACGGTCAACACGTTGGTAGCAGCTCCGTATCAAAAGGCCTGGCTCGACTACTGACAGTCAAACGTAAGAGGCACCTAATGTCACCGTATTAGCAGTCATCGGAAGCTCTCCGTTCAATGAATAAGCACTCGCAAGTACACCAAAGGTACTTGCTTTCACAAAGCACGTTGTCAACAAGGCTGTTTCCAGCACAAAGGTACACAGAAGAAAACTCGGTTCCAAATCTGGTAAGATTTTGATTTGATAGGCCAGACAAAGCAACAACTTATGTCTCGTGGTCGAAAAGCTAGCTATGAATCTCTCGAGTATAGCTTCATCGCTTTCATGTGAAGTTGTAGTAACACGTGCCGTGTCGTTTCCATGCGCTTTTGCGTGATGAAAACATATCCGATGAACCGCGGCGGATGACAGGTGCCGCTCTCAGCGAGTGAGGTGATGTGTTTCTTGATGGCTCGTTTTGGTCGCCCCTTTCGGATCTCCCATCGAGCGCCCAATCACACTCTCCCAAACTCTGATCGCGGGCGATTCGATGCGGAAGACCCTGTCGTCTCCAAATCCCAGAGTGCAAATAGCCTGAGAACCAGCGATAGCTCGATTCCCAACCCGATAAAAAAACGCAAGAAAATTCAAAACGCATATCAACTCTCTTCTTCGGCGTGATCGTACAAACACAAAACGCGACGAAAATGCCGCAGTAGCTTCTTCGCCATCCACCGCCCCCATATGCCTTGACCTGTTGATGCATGCAAAGATTATCACGCTTTTCGTGCCGTTCCTTGACGCCATCTAAGCTGTTCTAAGGACTCGATGAACCGCCAAGGTGGTATCATTAGCACTTTCCGTATTCCGCCGCCCCGTATTGATTTCGTTTTTGACAAAGGAAATGGAGGATATTGCACAAAAAAGGTCAAGATGTGTTCAACTGTTGACCAGTGGGTATCTCGGGAGGTGTGCACGATGTGCTCAGTTGAGAATTCCCTCCCACATGCCCGGTCCGCGGTATCCGTCGATTGAATGAAGCATTGATGCCTCGTAAGCCGGAGCAGCCTCGCTGGCGCAGCAGACGCGCTTGCGAGGGGTGCCACGGTCATTTGTGCCCATCTGGCTGTTGCGAGGGCGAACCAGATCCTGGGTCCATTGCTTGCCCGAGTAGTTACCGGTGAGCATATCCCGAACATTCTCCTGGAGGCAGTTGTCGACGATTGAGACACCTCGAGCGCGCTTACGGGAAGACATCGCAGTAGGAGTAGAGTCGTCGGAACGGTAGTTCTGAAGCTCCTGTAGTGCCCGTGCGGCGTCATTCGCGGGATCATGCGTCATTTCATCCAATTCGCGTTCTCTCTGAGCCAAAGGAGTATCCAACGACATTTCGCAGAGTCTGCCAACCGGGCCGGTGTAAGACTCAGGCGAAGAGGTGATGCAATTCTCTTCGTAGTCCTCAGGAACCGAGGCGATAGTCGGTCTCAAGCTTGACCTCTCACTGCACAGCTTCGCAGACCGGAATCGCGCCTGGACCCCCAGAGGGGCCGGCGCGTTGACCAGTGAGGAGGCAGATGAGATGGAGGAGGAGCGAGAGGTGCGCGACGTATCAGAAACCATGGATTCGGGAGAAGACGCGGTTGAGATTGAAGTGGCGAGAGAAGAACGACGAACGGGGAAGTAACCCTGAGGAGACGAGGTGTTGGCAACAGGCCAGCGATCGAGGCACTGGGTTGCGCTGACGCATGAGGCCTGGGCCATGGCGAGGCCCATCGCGCTGCCCTTGCTGAGGTGGGATGCAGCACCCACGGCAGGAGTGCTGTATCCGCTCGACTGGGGCGTCAGACGCGGGGTGGGAAGTAACCCTAGAGCGGGAGCCAGCCGGCCCGGAGTGTATACAGTGGCCGGGGAAGGCTCCATAATATTCGGGGTTTGGTAGGATCTCGGGGTAGGGGTAAGCTCGGCTGAGTCGTACCCCAATCCACAAGCGCCGGTCGTAGCCAAAACATCTTGCGCCGCCGGCAGCATGGTGCGGTGACGAGACAAGGTGCGGGAGCTGGGAGCGACGTGCGCCGTGGGAATCAAGCCTTCGATGTTGTCCAGCTCGGGATTGAGTTTGAGGATAACCATCTTCCAGTTCGAGCTCTGTTGCGCATACCATTGGGCGGAGGTTCCGGGAGCGGGAGGGGACGGAGGGGTGTACTTCAAGACGATTTCTGTCCAGCGCTGGAAGACTTCGTCGGTGATGTGCAGCTTCCAGTCGACCGCCAGCAAGAATGCAATCTCGTTTTGGTTGATTTCCCCCGTGTTGAGCCCGGAAATCTTACTCCAGGCTCTGGCAGAGTAGTTACGATCTTGGAGGTACTTGGAGGCGAGGATGAGAGCGGCGAGGAACATGCGGCGACCGCATTGAAGTGCGCGGCACTCCTGCTTGTCGTCGGGCTGTTCCATGGTGAAATCGTGCTTCGGGACGTGGGGCTTAATCAGAATCAGGTAGTACAGCGCAACCTGAAGGGTGGAATAACTGGTGCGGGAGCGGCGCAGGGTCTCCTGAATGAAGGTGCGCAGCGGCAACACCGCCTTGTTTCCGAGTTCATTACGACATACGACTGAGGAAAGGGGCCAGATGGCCTCGACGATCTGTGTCGAAGAATCTAGAGTGACGATTGGATTAGGAGACTGGGCGGCTGCACACATGTTCAATACTGCTTACCAACAAGGTTGTCGACAAAGTTGACCTTGCGCTCAGCCTGGCGAACCAGGGTCGGGGGTGCTCCAGAGCGGGTAGCGCTCCCACTGGTTCGTCTGGGGTTTTGTCGCAGCTCCTGGGGAATGGCAGCAGCGGCTTGCTGAGTAGGTTGTCTAGGCCAGGGACTTGTGAATCTAACAGCAGTGTCGCATGCGGCCGAGGGTCGCGACAAGCAATATACGTCGGCGGAATCGGAGTCGGAGGTGTTGGTGGGGGATGTCGAGGTAGATGATTGAGAGGATACAGCAGACCAAACCGAGCCGGACGATGTAGAGGTCAGGGATTCGAGGGAGGAGCTGTAGGTGTTGTTTTGGTAGGTGCTGATGAAAGCCGACGAATCATCGGTGGCGTACTTCATCTTGGATGTAAGTGGCGGAGGGTATTTGGCGTTTGGGGGTTTTTCGATATGGGAGTGATTCCTCCAGTCGCCGTCAAGCTAAGTCAACCGGGTAAACCGTGAAAGGGTTCGTATGAGCAGATCGTGATACCGTATCAGAAACGCGCAACTTCACAACAGCTACTAGTTACTGTTGTAAAGTCTTTGAGAGTCGTAGATAGGGGTGGCGGCTTTTAGACGCAAATGTCCACAGCCGACGTTACACGAAGGATCAAACCGGAAGACGAAACAAGACGGGCGACTGGAGTAGATTTTGTAATTCGAAGAGGCATCGTATGTTTAATGCATCTAATAGGAGGGGCTAAAAGGTCCTGATTATATGGTGAGCTACTGCAGAGCCACCATTGATGCGATGCGATGAAGTGTATAATATTAGATGTATAATAGGTGAGTGATGATAGGGTGGCTAAGGGTTGAGAGGAGAGTTGGTGAGGTTGATTAAAGGAAGGCGAAGTCGGAGTCGGAAGGGTAGAGTGAGGGGAGAGGTGAGGGGAGGCAAGGCGCTGGACCAAGTGTGGCTGCGAGGAGAGGTTATATCCAAGCAGGTGGGATGAGGTGTGACTCTTTTTCGCCTTGCGCCGCCCGTGGTATCTCGAACGAACGTGTTCAGAGGGGCGACTTGGCCTGGCGTGACGAAGTCGGAGGACCCTTTGGGTGGCTCAAGTCTGGCTCAAGGGCCCCAGATTGGGTGTGGATGACTCTTTCAGGTTTGGGGTGGCGAAGGGGGGTGAGCCTGGTTGGGTTGCCGCCCACGCAGGTGGCTCCAAGTGACGGACAGGTGTGAAGATGGAAGGGGGGGGACCACACAGGGGAGAAGGGGAAAGTGCAAAGTGCGTGAGTGCGTGCGCGCGGGAAGGAAAGAGAGTGATTGAGAGGTGCAAAAGGTGGCAGTGGCAGTGGCAGCCTAGGGAAGGCCGAGAAGGAGACCCCGGGGGTGGACAGGGGGTGGGTAAGAGTGGTCCGGTTGAGTGCGTGATCGCTCTCGAGAACCAGGAGAGGCAAAGGGGAGAAGAGTGACAGGCAGGCCGGATAGGTAGCGTTGTCTCTCTGTTTCTCTCTCTCTATGACTCTCACTCTCTCACTCACTCATGCTGCTTCTCATCCACTTTTGCGGCGTTTGACGTGTTCGTGCTAGCTGGTGCTGGGCTGGGAGGGAAATGCTGTGCAGAAAATCAAACTGGGCTTGGTACTAACCTTGCAGGCAGTGCTTTGAGTCCCTCGGATGGAGATGTCTCTTGGCGACTACAGAGGAGTGTGGCGAAGGAGATGCTGGGTCAGCTGATGAGAAGCCAGGTTGAAAGATGAGTCGTAATCGTCGTGTGAGCTATTGTCGTGGATATTGCCGGGGCAAGTTGATTAAAAAGGAATGAGTATAATGTGTCAGAGCCGAATGAGATAGTTGCAGGGTATCGGAGAGATATTTTTTGGTTGAAAGGCAGGAAAATGAGTAACTGTGAGAGACAAGGAGCTTGCGTGAAAACGCTGGTAGGCAGGTAGGCAGCAGAGGGTCCGTTGGGTGATGATGAGAAAGGCGTATGACTCTATTGAAGCCTTAATCCGATCTCAAAATATCCCAGCGTAAGAGGGATTGAAAGCCTGCGTGCCTGGGCTGGATGGTGATGGTTGTTGCTGGTGGTGGAGCTTCTGCCGAAAATGGAAAGTATCCGTAGGTTGATGCCTTTGTTAGCCGCAAGGAACAAGTGAATGCCGCTGCGGTTGCAAACAAGGAAGCCTAGGAATGGCGAGGGTCAGGCGGTTGTCGTGTGTTGTTGAGGATGATGATGATGTGTCGCGGTGATGCTCGATGAGTAACGTGACCGAGGGTGGCCGAGATGACTCTTGGAGGCGAGGATGAAGGGATCCGGTAGATTAGGACACGGTGAGTGACTGATCTGCTGGCGAGGATGGGAGTGAGAGGAGAGAGTGAGAGGCGTAGTAGACGTGTTGCTACACGACCCAGAAAGCAAGTTTACAAAGGAATAAGCGGAGAGTTGGTCTAGAGTCTCTTCCCAGGGATTCCCGAGATGAGGCACGTCTAGCAGACTTCGGAGAGTCGCTGTCGTACAAATTTAGACCTTGGAATCGAACATGGCGATGGCGATTGTTCGATGGATCAAAAGGAAAAGGAAGGGGGGAGGACATAGGTGCACGGCGATGTGGGCGCGGCGATAGTTTTGAATGCCTGGGGGAGCACTCACACACCCAGCCAGACTCCACGGGCAGGTCTCTCCTACTCTCTCTTTCACTCTGACCCTGCTGTCGTCGCGACGGTACGGATACAGGCAAGAGCAAGCCCGGTAGGGAAAAGATACATTGGACGGGATGGGCAAAGGTACATGGAGACAAGTACCGGACACTGGATTCTGGTATGGGAAACTGGTGTGGGCCACTGGGAACTGGAACCTGGGAATTTGTGCACACGTTGATTCGAAGGCTGGAAGGCGTGGAAGGGTGGTACCTAAGGGTTGGTGGGAAGGAGCAGATGGGGACTTGCTGCCACTTGCAATTGCCTTGCACCGACCTCTTGCTGGCCACTACCACCTCACCTCACCTCACACCTCACTCGGTTTCCTTGGGAAAGAAAAAGAGAGGGGAGAGGGGAGACCTGAGAGAAAGGATGCAGCCGGGGCCCGGAACACCCAGCGAGTCTCAGCATTCGACCACTGTCTTTTCTTCGCGTGTCTTTTCATTGGCCCATACCGTGATACAAAGTGGGTCGCATCGTTCTCCTTCCCGGGGTGGAGGGCATATTGAAAACCAAAAAAAAAATAGCCACCGTCTCCACTCTTTTTCCATTGCTCTCAGACTCACACTCTCATCCACCTCTCTTTCTCATCTGGAAGCGAGTGTGTCTTTCCCTCGCTGCTCCTCACTCATCTTTACTGCTATTACTCATACTCATCCAGCTACTCATACACACCTCTCACGCAGCACACACACACACACCAAATGCCCCCAAAATGCCCTTGCCTCCTCTTACTCACACTCTCTCACATATTGATAGCTGCATACCCAAACTCCACTTTACCCACCTCTCATGTGTCTATTCCAGTGTTGCTATCCTCAGGTCGTTATCTGTTCTCTGCTTGTCTCTGGCCAAGGCCCCAAACTGCTCAATCATCAACTGCGTTCCTACCTGCTTCGGTGCTTGTCCTCTCATGCCCATGACCGTTCAGGTATCTCTGCTTCTGTTCCCACCCGGCCCAAAAGCCCGAGATGATGCCCGAACTTTCCATCGCCACCAACCAGACCAAACGGCACTGTGACCTTGTGGTAGACTGTGTACCGTACTGCAAAGTAAGGTATCCATTTCCATTTCGTTCCATGCAGCATTCATCCCACCCCTTGATGCCTAGCAACCTTGGGGTCTGTCTGTCTGGCTTTCTGCTCCGGTGCCTGAGCTTTTGGAGCTTGGAGCTCTTCCCAAGTTCGCTATCCCCTCACGGCCTGCGTCAAATCTTCTGCACGACTATTTTGGCTCTGGCATCTTCCGTCGCCAAGTGGCTGCTCACGTCGTAACCTCCTTCTTGATTGGTCAAAGTTGTTCCACGCCATGTCGTTTGAGGTTAGCCCCGCCAAGCCTAAAATGGCTTCTCAACCACTCGTGTGCGGCAGCAACACACCCTCTGCAGTGGCCCAGCCTTTGTGGTTTCTGGCAAGCTGCACCGCTGAATGGCTGCTGCTGCCCAGCCCCAAGCCGGCCAGGCAGGAGCAGACTGAGGTGCAGTTGCAACTTGCAGGAGAGAGAAGGAGCCCCCCGGGGTAAGGCAGCGTGGCAGGCACGGATGCTAGCGCAGGCAAGGAGGGGGGGAAAGAGTCATCGTTGACCATCAAGCCCCCCCTCCGCCACGCCATCGCAATCAATCCTCATCCTGTGCCGTGGACTTCGAAATTTGCAGACATTGACGCCCTCTTGCAACGACCTACCCATGCCTTTCTCTTCCGCCCATCCACACCTGCTCCAGCTATAGCGCCACCTTTGTTTGGTTATTGCAATTACAGCCAGACGACAAACCCAGATTTGCAGGATGAGAAAGAGACACAGACCTTCGATAACCCTTGCAACCTGGGGATGAAGCACGCCGTGTCTTTCGTGTAAGCATGAACATGCCACGGCTTGTGCTTATGAGGGTATCACGAGTCTGGTCTCGACGAGATATTGGCCTTGAACATTTTCGATTTATTAATCCGGCGAGCTGCAAGCGAACCCACTCGACCCCCGGCACACGCGACAATCTTCGAAGAATCGACTGACAACAGCTGTTGTGTCGCCCAAAGTCTCGCCACTAGACAACCAAGCTTTGATCCAGAGGAATATCTCGAGGGGAGAGAGATTGCGTGCCATCATCCTGTCTCATCATGCCACCACACACCCTTTGAGAGCTCGGGGAATCGGGGCAAGCAAGCCAGCCAACCGCAATGCTCCTAATTACCTTAGCCACAGCCAGAAATCACCTACGAGAGATACCGACACGCGCACGCACCACACAAAAGCGTCAGCTCCAATCAGCGCTGTTGGCGAATCTCGATGGGCTATCGAGTTGAGTTTACACGGCCATGCAGACATTGACCTGACCACTTATGGGGCATACGGAGTACTCAGTGTATGAATACTGCGGCTCGGCTTACAAAGTCAAAGCAACATTCAAAGGGCGTCAGCCCCTACCATCGCGAGCACTCTTCCACCGAAATGCCGTAGAGCGCGTCCAACGATGATATCACCCCAACTTCGCTGTCGGACTACTGATCGAGAGCCGACGGAACTTCCTGCCGAGGTCGACAACCTGAGCTCCATCAGGTATCCATACAGGAACGATGGGCCTCTGGACGGGTCGTTCTAGGGTCCTCAGAATCCTCCCTAGACAGTGACCTCATACACACTCAGAGCCCAAACCCCAGTGGCTCAGTGGTCTTTGCAAGCCTGGAGCATGACAAACTGTCGCTGAGAAAGGGTTCATCCTCCAGCTTGGGTACGGATACCGCGCTGCAACTTGTCCGCCGACGACGGGCTCCCGTGACACTCAGTGGTTCCTCAAGCCCCGAAATACCGAAGTGCGCCCCCTCAGATTCCGCCACGAACTCCGCTTCAGGTTCAGAGCTTTGTTCCTGAATTACAAAGGTCAAAAGAGACGCTCGACGGGACGCTTACGGACCACGGCATGCCAGTTGCGCGTCTCCGGCGCTTCCTTTTCTCAGAGGCGATTTCTCAGCCGCTCTACCTAGTTTACATCTTTGTCAGCCGTCTAATAAGCTACAGTGATACGGGTGCACCAACTTGGTTTTGGACTCTCACAAAACACGGACGTCTCGGGGACAATGGAACAGATCGCATCCGGTGGATTCAGCCACACTGTCACCAGCATCCATCTCATTTTACGTATCCTCTACCTATCTTGGATCCACAGACCAAGCCTCACTCTTCGATAATCCTCTAGCTCGATATTGCCATCTTGTCCCTCCTTCCACGACCCGAGGGTCCCGTCTGCGCGTCTTGTCTATCAACTTCATACGTGGTTGCACGTTGCATCCTTTCTAAAAAGACGCAGTCGTCTCGCAAATAAGCACAAGGCCATTCACGCTTCAAAGCATTCCTTAAACATAGAGAATAATATTAAATGTTTGCGAAGCATGGCTCTTGCCTGGTCTTCAAACACATTACACCTGCTTGACCTTCAAATAGATGCCTCGAAACATCCCAGGCGAGAACCCTGATACACTTTTGTGAGGTCAATCATGTTGGAACGACCTGAGGCAGTACTTTCAAGCTAAACCCCCACACGCTGCATATCTTCATTGCGAGAAAGGTGCACAATGTGCACAAGTCACCCAAGCAGACCATGGATGCTCTATACTTTGCTGGAAGTACCTGGCCCCAGATAAGAGGGGAGCATCAGAGCAAAGTGTCAGTATCAAGAGGCCAAGGAGTACAGGGGACACAGGACAGGGAGCACTCTGTTTGTCAAGAAGTATACGGAAAACGCTGCGGGAGAGACAAGCAGCCAATCAGTGCCAAAGGTCCTGGGCGGCTGCTGTTGCTCATTCGCCTGGTGGTCTTGGCTTCTTCAGTTCAATACATGGGCTACATGTAGCGACTCGTCTCGCCCGCTGGACTGCACTCGTGGTTCTGTACTGGGCAGAAATGGAGACGGCTGGGCGCGCGGGAGACCGACCGCCAGTTTAAACCCCGGCGACTACGAGATTTGTTCCGATTCGTACCGAACCTGCAAGCTTTGGCATCATTGCCCAGTATTTCCTCAAGTACCTTGTCAGGCTTGTCAAGCAATACTCCGGGCGTACACCATAAATGGCCGGGTTGATGATATGCTCCCTCAAATATCTCACAACTTCTCCCCACCAACGGATATTCATAGCTATGAATCTTCTAGAAGTTGGGGGCCGGGAATGGCATCAAGTTTGCTGAAGGGGGGAGGGAGAACGTGAAGATTCGAGTCTGCTTGCCTCGAAATGCCGTCATCTGGCCACCGCCCCCTTGTGCAGTTCGCAGGCATCACTCGGTCTAGCTGCAAGCTGCAGGAAAGCCTGCAGCTTTACTGGTATTGCCATGTCACACACCTCCGTCGCAGCCAGCCCCGCTCCGCCCCGCGGCAGACCTTCATTGGAGGGCTGTCCTCAATCTGTCCAGCATTGCCGTCTTGGATGCAGGCCAACGAACTCAGATTGTCGTTCGGCGGCAGGGCAGCGTCGATGAAGGGGAGATAAAGAGGGGCGAAGAACACACAGCTGGCGCTCATTGGACAAACTCTCACCGTTGTCTGTCCGAAATCTCATTCGCCCGAGGAGCTTACTCCGAGAGCAGAACGATAGCGTGGAGATCTGTTCTCCAAGCAAGGACGGAATTCTACGATATCCGTACACATGATCGGATTCCGTGCAACAGGTTCGTTGTCTTACGGAGGACTGTGGATGTCCCTCGTGAAGCCAAAGACTTGCGTGCGCCTTGCAAAGAGGCACATATGTTGTTTTCCCAGTTCGTACGGGATCGCGAGTAGGCTCTTAACATCCTAAGCCTCCTGTGATACGTGATCTTCTTTGGCCAATGAGCGCCGATACGTGGCCATCTAATTACCTCGATGAGTCAACTCTAGCTGGCCAGACACGCCGGGTTCTCATGCTCTCAATACGTCTCAAAGCCTCGACAAAAGAAATCAAAGTAGCAGAGGGATGCTCTCCTATGTGGCACAGCTCGCGAACCTGAGGATCTTGCTGCCATGTGGCGGCTTGAAGACTTGCGTCTCCACAGCGCCGTGGCATGAAAAGCGAGGCTTCGTTTGCGCATCCCCTTAGATTCTCGGATTCGCTCGATTCGGCCCACGAGATAAGGAGTTTTCGCAAAGGCCTATGCTATGACTGTATCATGATCACGATGGTTTCAACGGAGACACGCTGCTACTATTGAGGGAGAACGATGGCGGCGAGTTGCATGACACCGCTGCCGTGGTTTGCCGCGCGGCTGATGCACACGACTCAAGCAAACGGTGAGCTGGATTACAGCTCAAGCCTCGAAGTTCGAACAGCGCGGCGCGCAACCCAATATTCGTATGACTCTTTTCAGCTACACGCCGTTCTAGCCTTTCGGTCAAACTCGCTTCGACATTGCACCGGACCATGAAGACTTTTCGCTGATGGTGCGCATTCGATCTCGAACAACACACCATACTGGTTTTCAGATACACAAAGTGCGACACACCAAAGGAGTCACCGAGACAAAATTTGGTTGCCTGCTGAAAAGAATCGGTTGGCCCAGGCCAACCAAGGGCCTCGAGCGGTCTAAAGCGGAAGGCTTCGAGAAGATCGCGGCTTTCTAGCTCGACTGGCACACCACATGGGCACGATGGGGTGATGATCCCCCCTGACGGGAATTGCGTTGGGTTTCAGCAATGCCCGAGAGCTCATCTGAGCGACAATCTTGCTCTTTTTCAGCATGACTAAGGCCCAGCGATACAAATATCCCCTGATATGGCTCGCTTACGGACATCGGCGATAGCGAGGAGCCCTTTCCGTGATCTCCTCGTGCCCTCTGGAGTCGGGAATCTGGAGTCTGGAGATATTGAACGTCCCACCCGGATCACCCCGCGTGTTGGTGAATGGGGAGACCTACGGATAGACATCACTCGATGGTGATGTTGAGCGACTTGTTTGCGAGAAACGCAACGCAGACCCGTGATGCGGAGGTTTCGACATGTGGAGAGACGTCTGCCGTTATTCCGTCAGCGTGATCCCACGGAACACCGCTTGTCAAATCGAGAAATTGTCATTCGTCGACGCCATTTACTCATAAGTCATCAACTGCGGGGACGCGATTACACCACTAGGCTTCAGTCACGCTTCGTCGCCGGCGATTTGCCGTCACTCAGGTGAGCTAGCGAGTGAAGTTTGGCCAATATTGGCGTTAGACAAGCTGTTGGTGGCGGACGGAACCCCCCCATTTTGCCCCCCCCCCCCCCCGCCTGGCTAATAATATGTGAACTGGCAAAGTCGTCTGAACGGCCTGCTGTTCAGTAACATCAAGAGGAGGCAAGCACAGTAAGCGGCAGTCCAAACGTATTCCACGCCAAGGTATGGATGGTGGAGAACAGTCCGCTGCCCCGGAAGTGTCGGTGATTGGGACGTTTGTCTTTTTGTTTCCTGTAAGCAAGACGTGAACTAGCGTGAGCAGTCAGATTGCCTACTAGCATCTCGTCCCCTCGATCCTCGATTCTGCGAGGCCATCACTCAGACAGCTTGGCGCTAGCGGCGCAGCCTGTTGGAACTTGAGCCTGGTTTCACGGCTATCCGTGAGCTGAGTTACTGGAGAGACGCGACAGCGGCGCCTCGCGTGACCCTTCAGCTCTGCAGGCGGCGTTACTAACGATCTGGGGGCCATTCCAGCCACGTCCCAAAGTCCGACTACCTTCGTCGTCATCCGTAAGGTATTATCTATGGTATAATGGAGAGACGCTGGCGTCGACGATGGGGTTCCGGAGGCCTATCCGAAGAATCAAGGTCGAGGCGTCCACTTCCACAGCCTTAGCAGTCAGATACTCTTAGTCGGGCACCGTTGATGAGACATGCTCGCATGGAAAACGGACCCGGAGAAGAGTTGATGGGCGAATCACCTTGCCACCCTGCTTCAACAATGGATCTATCTGTCTATTCCTGGTGACCGCTCTCACCCACTTGTTACGGGCGAGGGATCACCAAGCCCTTTGGGAGCCCCTCCTCCCAAATCCTGAACCAGGCAGCAGCATGGATTGGATGTCATCCACCCGTCTGCAACCCCAGCTTCACCGGCACCACAAAGCGAATCACCAAGGGAACAGTAGGAGGGGCCTACAGAGTATGGATACTGATTGGCCTTTTGGCTCGGCACGACAGCCTATGGGAACCCTTCAACAGGTCATTGTCAAACAGGCAGCCCAGCCATCCCTCATCCATTGTGCAATTCTTCACGCGCAGGCAGCTGAGCAGTAGCCTTGCATGGGCTTACGGCGTGAATCTCATCTCAGATCTGATCCCCCGGGCGCCAGCGGCTAACACACAGCTCTGGTCTTAGTCTAGACGTCATGAAGCGCGAAATCCCTTGAACAATAGGGTTTTACAAAATGCGAGGACGAAAGTGTCCCCCCCAGCCTCGGGCAGATGACTCCCTGGGAATCTCGGGACAGGGCTGGACCAGCCTAGCGACGCGGAGCATCGTGTAAACTTCACAAGTTCGCATCACCGCCGTCACGCCCTTGTCGAAACCCGCCAGGTAGCAGCGCGTGCACGTAATCGCTCCAGCGGCCTCAGGTTTGGGAAGAACACTGTGGATTCTGCAAGAGGAGGAAATGGACCGGTGTCGGCGATAGAGGGACAGCGTGGGCGATTTAGTCACCGGTTCGCCGACGTGTCAACATGGAAGCGACCTATCCTCTCCGTCATGGAGAATGACTCTTACGATGTGCTGTCCTTATCACCGCAAATATGGCCCGTTGCGGGGGAGACAAGTCCGAAGAGGTAATGTTACTGGACTGGACGGTTGAACCTACGATGCCTCTTTCAACCCGACCTCTCCCGTAGAAAGCGAGCCCGAACGATCGGAGGCAGAAAGGGCCAAGGTGTTCCGAACTCTTTGTCGAAACCGTGTCGATTAGCTGCAATGGTTCCCGCTTTGCGCAATCCGAGACTCCACCGCCCACATATCCGGCTCCCGCGTGACAGCTTGCTGGAGTCGCTGCGGCCCTGCGGCCATTTTTGAGTCTTGGCCTCTGTCCCCTCCCCGCCGGATATGCTTTTGCCCCAGATCTTGGGTTTCGCGCACGACTCGCGGTGGGAAGACTTGTGTCCAGTGACGAAGTCTCTCGGCTCCTCAGGGTCCCTCTTTTTTTTTCTCCCTTAATTGTAATTAGAGTATCGGTACACTTTTAGCACGCATTCGAACGGAGTCCACGATGCTCTGTCTTTGCATTCGTAAGGGACCCCAGGTGCTGGTAACCGAGGCACACGGCGGACGCGGCTGTCCCCAGTGAAGGTAGGCGCGCGTACGCAGGCGCAGGCGCAGCAGGAAAGCCAGCCAGCATTCGAAAGCAGAAAAAACGTAGAGATTTAGAGTAGGTTGGCTGCCCGCGCTTGATTCAGCCTCCTTTTGTGGCTGTGTTTTTTTTTTCCTTGCTGCGACGAACATGGGAAACGTAAGGCTATCAAAGAAAAACGCATGCGCCTGACGGGCTGGCAGGCAGACTACGGGGAACTATTACAATGATTGTGGGATTTTACAGAGGTCATTTACGGATACATTACGGAGTACATTTCATTGCGGAGCGGAGTCCAACATGAAGACGCCACGATCACGGCACGGCAGCATGCCAACGTTCATAGCCGTGTACGAAGATGCGAAAAGGAAAAGTGAAAGTAGGCTTTTGGCTTTCCGGGTATGCGGCGCTTGCGTTTGGCCAAGCCTTGTACTTTTGTTACGTATGACATATGTTCGGCAGGCTGTCCTGCAGGCTGGGCGGTATAATGTCCTTCAGCCGCTTTTGAGGGGCCAGGCTGCGAGGCTTTGTTGGTTGGTATGTAGGCTGACTTTGGTATTTGGCTAAGGCTGATATTGGGGAAATCGAGGGTGGGAGCCTGACATGGAGTTGGTGCATGGTAGCTAGGTTTTTTGCATCGTTTGCTGCGTTGCTTTTGATGCGTCATAGGTGATCTCGTGATATATGTGAAATTTTCTACAGTTACCGGCTGGTGATTCTCTGTAATAAATGGACTACCTAGCAGTCAGGTAGGCAGGTAGGCAGGTAGGCAACGAGGCCGATTCAGGACCGAGGCTAGCTAGCTATCTACCCATTCCGTTGAAGAGTGAGGGAAGCAAGAGGAGCGCGGGAGAGTACGGGTAAGCATGTGAATCATCGTCGTTTTGAGGCCTCGTGGTGTTTTCTGCCTGGCTTGGCCGTTCCTCGGGAGGTGACGGGTGAGACGGCCACTTTGGGTTATTGGCCTCGCTTGGAAGCGGGAGGAAGAAAGGTGTGGAGGGACGAAGAGGATTTGTGTCCCTTTTTGTGTAAGTCATGCTTGATTGAAGAGTTTTCCTTGGGTGTCATGGGGAGATGTGATGACTCTTGATGTAAGCTTTCTCTTCTCTGGCGGTCGGAGGGCTTTCGGATCTGGGTCGGGCTGGTGTAGGGGAAAAGGGTATGAGATAGCTCGACAATGACGGCCATGGTTGCTGCGATACTTACGCAGAGTTTTGGTGTGTGGTTTCTGTTGAGGGATGGACATGCTTGCATGCTGAGGCTGTTTGGTTGGGAAATTTGCGAGGCTGGTTGCTACATGTCGAGGTCGAGGTGAGGTCTGAAGACTCTGATGGTGGAACCGTAGTTATTAAAGGTGCACAATACTCGCTCTGCTGGAGTTTCAACTTGACAGTTATCAGATTACCCTGGCTATGAAACCCGTTTCCTATCCTCCCTTCGCGACGTAGAAGCAGATTGTGCTGCGGAGCGAAGTTTTTGTTGCAAGATGGATTTTAATATTGATAACTAGTGACGCTGTCCCCAAAACCAATCATGTTGGGAATCATAGGGAAATGTGTTCCCCTCACAAGGGAGAACACTACCAGACGATATTCTGCATGTAATACTGAGGAAAGAGACTGGAAATTGAAGGTATAAATAAACCTTGTAGTAGCTCAAGGAATGAAAATCAAACAACATAAACTCTCGCACTGAAAGTCATGGGTTCCACGCACTATATTACTCACTATGCTGCTTCGCCTAAGATTGACAGATGTATCA